GTGGACAGACACTATAATCTCTAGGATGATGTACCACCTATGATATACCACCAGCAGGAGGCCCAAAGGGTACATTACTCCCTGCTTCCATTCAGATTTTACTTTGAAAGCAAAAAAAAAAAAAAAAATACTTTGAGAGTCAGAATGAACATTGACCTTTTAACTGAGTGTTTTTCCTGAATGTTTTTTAAATTGGGAGGAACCAAAATCCCTTTATTTACCAAATCTATGAGTGTCTTTGTGTAGGATCTAGGGTTCAGTCAGGTCTTAAGAAATTGCAGTAGTCATCTACACAGGGCTATTTCCTTCAGAGCAGCTGTTGGGCCTGAAGGTAATATGAGTCAGCCATGTTTGCAGTGGGAAAGGATATGGAAACGTGAAGCTGGGAGAGCGAAGACAAACTGGAATCAGCAAGGGTCAGGTGGGACCTCGGAGGGAAAGTGGAACCATGACTGTCTCTCAGCCACTCCAAACTTTATGATATCAGGTGAACTGCAGAAGAAGCTGGTGACTCTATCATCGGTGAGCACTCACATCCAGCCTAGTGCTGGGAGAAAAGTAAGAGGAGGCTGTTTCACAGGGGATGGAGGAGCTGAGGTCTGGCAGTTACAGATTGGTCTTTCAACAGAGACCTGCTTTAGCTGTGTCATATCTTTTCAATTGGATGTGTTTCTCCCCTGCTGGCAGCTATTTTGACAGCAAACTGGGCACCCAGCCCTTCTGAACAGGGCAGGCATGCTCACACGGTCTCCTGGTGACCTTCCCTCCTTCCCACTGTCTGGACAGTAGCGGCTACTCCCCCGCTACTCGCTCCCACATTTCCCTTTTGATATTGGTACTATGCAGCAGTGAACTTGCAGGCAATAGCCCACAGAATCCTACCCAGTGCTTTCCTTTCAGAATTTGGTAGCAAGTTCTTCACTTTTTATTATTTTTCCTTTTCTGTCATAGACTCAGTCTTTGGTTCATTAAGTCAGACAACTTTCTCTGGGTTTTCTCCTCCCTCTTGCTCAGGAGTTTTTTGTCTGCTTGGCAAATTGCTACTTGCTCACTGAGAATTATTTCTCTGAGTTGTACCTTTCCAGCTCTTGTCTCCAAGCTCCTGAAAAGGCTAATGAGCACTGGTGCTTGGATTTTAACACTAGGCGTTTGCCACAGAGCTAATGCAAAATGCGTGGCATGTGTCCAATATCCAAAAGCCATGGGTAGCAATGTGCAGAGAAAAAGGAAATGCTTTCTTATTCTGTGTGACAGAATTACCTGGAGGTTTGCTTTTAAAGACATGGTTAAACCTGAGGAAAAACCAGCTGTCATCAGGATGCATTTGGAGAAGAATTAAATCATAAGTATGTGGTACTTGTCAGAGAAACTGTGTGGAAATTAGGCTATGTTCAAGGAGAAATCAACTTTGATATTAAAATCAAATTTCACGTGTATGACTTGTATTCACCTTAATTGCTTGTAAAGAAAAAAATCTGTATGCTAACCTGTAAATCTGTAAGCTTAGAGATTTTTAGTTGGTCTTTGAAAAGCAAGTATTTCCGAGCACAGGAAGAAGACCATGATGGGCATATGAACTACCATGTGGTTTTGATCTGGTAACATTTCAAAGCAGAAGTGTTACTTCTCCATGCCCTGATCCTCACACTCCCTTCTGCGCTGCCTTCTGATTCTGCCATGTATGAAATGGCATGTTGCTGTAAGTCTATACCAATTACATTAATAGATGCCTGAATTTGCATTTCAGTTGGAGTTGGCCAATGGGAAAGCTCCAAGAGGAGATCAGAGAGAAAGGGGGTGGTGACAATATTTCTTTCCCTGGATCTTCTCTAAAAGTCACTTTACGCTCCCTGTAACTTCTGGCTTCTCGTGGTGGTTTATTCTAAAATTTTTTCCCTCTGGATTCCAAAAATGTGGCCTTTCTTGTTCCCTAAGAACCTTGCAGTGGCAGGAAATCAACTACTTCTAAGCCACCAGTTACAGTGCAGTTCCTTGCAGTTCCCTCACCTTCAATTTTATGAACAGTCTCTTTGTGAATATATTCTCGGCAATTACCCTATTTTGAGTGTGCCATCTGTATCCTGTTGGGACTCTAACACATGCATTAGTCAAAAAGATGAATTCTACAAATAGAGTTCCATTCACTGGAAATTTTGGTTAGTGTAATTTTAGAGGTTATAAAATGTATCTATAATAAACCATGACTTTGAAAGGCAGGATAGCGGGTTGCAAAGAACACAGACTTGACAGCGATTCAGCCTGGTTGTGACTCCAGTAGGATTGTGATAAAGATTCAATTAGTTAATCTCTGTCAGTGTTGGCATTTAGTAAGTACAACATTAAGTATAAGTTGTAATTATTACTATCATTAGTGCTACCAATATGATTTAAAAAAATGAAAATTTTCAGGGGGATAAGAGAACTTGACTTTTTTCGGGATTGTTGTATATAAATATAAATTTAGGGACTGGGGATTTAGCTCAGCGGCAAAAGCGCCTGCCTGGCATGCGCAAGGTCATGAGTTTGGTTCCCGGTACCGGAGAAAAACCAAAAAAAAAAAAATTTATCAAGAAAAGGCAAAGCACACTTAACAGTAGAACACTTTCTTTCAGTTTATATGCTAAGCACTATGCTATTTGGTGTTCAGCAATAGTTAATTTAGGCTCCTGCTCTGCAGAAACTTAGCTCAGTTTGGTAAAGAAAACACACAAAATGAGAAGACATGAAAGAAGCTTGAATTTGAAGGAAGTGAACCAGAATCTCGATGTATCTACATGTGTATGTATGTTATCTATCTACTATGGTCTGAATAAGTGTTCACCCAGAAATTCGTATGTTGAAGTTTAACATTGGGTGTACTAGCATTAACAGATAATGCCTTTGGAAATTGATTGTGCCATGAGTGCTCCACCATCATGTGTGGAATTATTGTCCTTTAAAAGAGACTTGAGTTATGAAATTCCTCAAAGAAGTAAAATTAGAAATTCCACTTGACCCAGCCACCCTCCTTCTAAGTATCTTCCCCAAAGGGCTAAAGAAATCACACTATAGCAATACATGCATATCAATGTGTATAGCTGCACAGTTCATAATAGTTAGGTCCTGGAAGCAGCCTGTGCACACATCAGCAGACAATTTGGTACCTATACATAATGGAATACTATTTGGCTACAAAGAAGGACAAAGTTGAAACATTTGTAGGAAAATGGATGTACCTGAACAATATTATGTTGAGTGGGATGAAGCCGAAACACAAGTATAAATACCATATAGCATCTCCCATTTGAATAAGGTAAAGCACAAAGAGCACAGTAAAGGATGGATAGAAGGAGACAAAGGCACAGATTCCTTGTAAATGGAAGAGTTCTATGTGAACATGGCTAAAGGAAGAGGGGGAGGGGAAGGGGAAATAAAGTAAAGACAATGCTTTGTACAGGAACCTAATAGCTTCATGAATGTAAACACTGTATGTCATAAAATCAGATAAAACTAATAATATCAACAAGAATGAAAATGAGAAAAGTGGATTTACAGGAGGACAGGAGGTAGGAAGGTAGGAGAAGGGGATTTAAAAAAAGAGTCAAGCTCTGTTTTGTAGATGTATTCACTTCCTAAGAAGATTGTAAAGTGCAAGTACTGCACACATGTATTGAACAAAAAAGGCTCCAGGTTATCTGTTTTTGCCTTCTGCTTTTTGAAGACATATTAAGAAATATCATCTCTGAAGAACAAATCCTCAGTGAACACTGGATCTCAGTGAACACTTGATCTTGATTTTCCACCCTCTGAAACTGTGATCAATATATTTCTGCTGTTTATGCATTATCTAGTTTATGGTATTTTTAGTAGCACTCTGGTCTGACATTGTCTGTCAGTCTGTCTACTATGTATTTATAGACTTATAGGACTCTGATGATATTGAACTAAAAAGTCAATGTGATTGTCTCTTCTGTGTTGGAATTTTAAAGTCTGATAACAGGAAGTCAGGAAGGGAAGATGGATCTGAAGTAACAGAAACTTGAACAAAGTAGAATCGACAATGAGAAGGAACACAGGACAATGGACTAAATCCGCACTGGTCTTGTACATCTTTCAAACTCCATTTTTCATAAACTTTATAGGAAAAGATGCTGAAAAGACCATGAAAATTTTGAATTGTTATGAATTTACATGCTACTCCCTACCAAAAAATGAGCCTGGAAATGGGCAAATGTATGCCTAAACTAAGAAAGGATCTTTGGCCTGCTCTGAATTTTCCTAGTATCAAGAGCATGAACTCTATTATATTCTTTCTATTTTCAACCACTCATGGGTGAGCTCTTGTGGCCCATGTTAATCAAAAGTTATGTAGTGAGAGGTACCCTGGAAAATGAAATGCTAGCTTAGTTAGGTTCTCAACGAAATATATCAAGAGGAATTAGTCTTACACAGTTCTGGATAAGGAAGGAACTCCAGAGGTGGAGACAGATTGGAGACCTCAAAGGAAAAGTTATTTTCTAATGGCAATATCTATATCCCTAGTCTACTTAAAATCATAATGAGTATATCTGAAATTTACAGAAATCATAATGAATTTCAGTAAATATATTGGACAATATAAAAACCTGTGGGACAATAGTAATATGGGGTTAATACATTCAAAACAGCAGATTATTTCATAAAACATATAAAGCAAAGACATTTAGGGTAATTGTCTTTAAATATGATATCAGCTACCAAAACTGTAAGGACAGATTTAGGTAGATAAAGGAGAAATTTGCAAAGTGTTCTGCTGTGTCTCCATGTTCACATCATTGCTCTAAGACTGAATGGAGTGACCCTTAAGACATGGCCTTTTTGTCTCTTTCTTGCAATGGGCTCTGTAAAGCTCACTAGCTGCTAAGTAAGGGGCATGAGGCTATTCCTGAAGGTGGGTGACTTTAACATAGTTCTATTAGGCTAAACTCTGACATAACAAAGACCATTAGAATAGGCAGGGTTGAAGCAAACAGTGACACCTTTATTTCAGTCTGGGTATGGCTGGGTAAAGGATGCAAAGGCTATTGGCCCAAACAAAGGAAGAGGATATGCTGTACAGGGGAGTTTAGGCAGGGGAGGGGGTCCTGTCGAGGAAGATAGAAACTTTTAGGTTTGTTAGGGGCCATTGATGGGTCTGGTGCCTCTGGTGGGAAGTACCTGGTGGGAAGTGCAGGGTAACAGTGGTATTTTGTTTGCTTATAGAGTGGGATTAAACAGATTTACAGGGCTTCCTGTAAGCCTGAGAACCAACCTGATTTTGATCTCTCAGGCTGGGTGAAGGGGTTTCTGGTTTGAACAGACTAGTCTGTGAGGGTTTTTTCTCCTCAAGCTGGGTGGGGTCCAGTTGTGGGGATCTAACAATTTCCTTGCTACTCAGTTATTAATGGAGAAATTGATGGTAAACTTGGTGTTCTTTTGAATAAAGAGGGCTATCTCCATTCTGTTCCCTGAATCTCCATGGGGTTGATGAATGGATCTCTTTCCTCCAGAAAGAAGGGCTGAATCCTAATCTGATCTAACAACTGATTTGCTGTGAAAATTTGAGCAAATTTCTTAATCTCAGGATGTACACATTTAACCCACTTTATTGGATTGTCTTGCAGAAAACTTACTTGCTGAGACTTTCCTTAAGCCAAATTTTCTCCTTACAACCTTTCCATGGTAGCTGATTTACTATTTAGTCGGCCCCTTGACCCTCCATCTTGTTTCTCTAAGTGCTTCTTATGTACCCTGAAAAGCATTATTATACATCACTTACTAAAATAATCTTCATTTTATTTCATTAAGTGATTAAGAGGTAAATCCTCATCACCAGAAGGTTCTGCTATCAATCACTTATAATTATGCTTGATGTTTCCTGAACTATTTCAGTGTGTCTAGCTTATGCAACTTTTACTCTTCATAGAAAGCCTTTGAGTAGACTGAGCATTTCTATCTGAAAACTTGAAGTCTTCAGCGTTCCCAACTCCAAATATTTTGAGCAACAACATCATTTAAAAAGTGGAAAATTCCACCCCATGAAAATTTTGTGTCTTGCTTGAAATGAATAGAAAATATTATATTAAATTACCTTTAGACTATATGTGTAAGGTTTATATGAAATATAAGCGAGTTTTGCATTTGGATTTGGCTCTTGTTCCAAAGATATCTCATTGAATATATGCCAGTGTTTCCAGATTTCTCCACAGAGGTCTGAAATTCAAGAAAGCAGGTCCTTACAAGCATTTTGGATAAAAAACACTAAGTTTATACTATCATTCTTCTTACTTTACTGAAAAATAAATGTAAGTTTATAGTAATATTGCAAACTTATGATCTTGATTCTTTATTTCCCAATTTCTTATTTTAATTGTATTTTTATTTTAGTTCATTATGGCATATGTATAGTACATAATGTTTACCTTCCTTGTGAGAAGTTGGTATGTGCATATAACACAAATTCCTTTTTTTTCATGCTTTATCCTTCTCCTCCCTCCCCTGCTCCATATTTTTGTCCCTTTCTCCATTTCTTGAGCAAGAAGTTCAAGTGAAATCATGACCAGTATTCAGTTTTAATTTCAAGCAGTAGAGATTGTCAACATTGTGTAAAAGTAACTATTTTATCTCTGTGTTAATGAGCATCATGTCTTTTTCCTATAATGACATCTTATAGCATGAAGCAAAAGAAAAGATACTTCTCAAACCAGGAGACACTTGTATCTTCAAGGGCCTCTAAGAAATGAATGAATTAAAAAGAAAATAAACTAAGAAGGACAATCATACTTTTGCTTTCTCTTTTACACTTTCCCTTTCCCATCTTCTTCACTTTTGTCTCCATTTAAATATTTATTGTTTTATGATTTGTCTCCTATACTTCAGTCTCTGAGTAACCCCTTTTCCTGGTATTTCAATGTACTTATTAGGTCACATTAGCACCCTTGTGAGCATGTTTACCTTTCTACATCATCAATTCTTTGAGAAGAAGGGCCTTGTCTTAATTGATCCTGGACTTTCAATGTTTGCCTCTGAATCTGTCCCATGCAGACAATTGATCAGTTTTTACAGAATTGAGGAAAGCCATATTAAAGGTCTGGAAGTGTAAATAAAGTAAGACTGACCTTCAGTTTTGTAGAGCTACTCATTCATGCAGTAGTCTCACCTCAATAATGATCAGAAGTGTAAATGGTTCCTTTGAATTCATTTACATGTGAGAGAACTAGGCTACGGTTTCAGAAAGAAATTAATCACCCTATGAAACACTGAGACAAAATTAATCAGTACCTTCTCCCGAAATGGTCTCTGGAGAAAATGCAGCGAGGCACAGCCACTGAAGAGTTACTTCCCAGTTCCTTCTGATTTAAATTATCAGAGGAGATGTCTTAGTTCTCTCTTGCACTATATTACTTCCTAAAATTATCCACCTCTTCAGTAAATCCAACTAAGATAGACTGACATAAAAATAAAATAAAAAAATGAAGAGCAGAAAAGTATTATGCAAGAAATTTTCTCTTTATACTTTAGTCACAGGTTCAAAATAGATTTAAGGACTCAAATATATTTAATATACTACAGGAAATAGAAATGAGCTAAACAGTGATACCTTGTGTGTGTGTGTATGTGTGTGTGTGTGTGAAGTTTGTAGGGGTAGAAAAGCTCATACTTGTTTAATTAAAAGATGCGATAAATACATAAAGTAATGAAAATTACAACCAAGGTAGAATATCTGTGTTCATAGTGCCTGGGAATGGAAGGTTTAAACACAGAAATATCATGTAAGTACATCTTCAGGAAAGTAAAACCCTTGAAGGACCAATGTTATGTTACAAGTAAAGTACTTTGAAACATAATCACTACAACGATATAAAGTTTTGTTATTAAAATGACAATACTTACACTGTAATCAAAATTGTCTTGACTTTGGAAAATGTGGAGTTTATCTTACTTTGAAAACTGCTGATTGAAATCTTCCTTTATAGAATATGGGCATTTTTGTTTCTTGTTAAACATTTTTCATAAACAGATCCAAAAGTTCAGACGAAATACAATATTTTTGTTTTTTTAGGTTATTTTTCTTTGTTGATATTCACAGTGCTGTTTCTCCCTCTTTCAAAAGATGCCTTCTACAGGTTAAAAATACAAAAAAGATTGGCGCTCAAAAGTGGTAACGCATACCATGAAGAGAGTAGATGTGGTATGAAAATAGACCGTTTCCTCCCTTGTGTGTATGCTACAGGGATAAGCATTTTTATACTTTCTTCCATAGCTAAGTTTGGGATGACATCTTAATTAATGTATGTTTTTAAAATCTTACAATAAATATTCAACCCATGCCACCAAGATTGTTAAAAGAAGAAACAGCCATCATTTTTCTGGACATATTTTGTACATAGAGCTGAGTGGTATCATCTCTCTCCGTCTTTACCTTACACAGTTCCTTGTCCTAGGAACAGAACAAAGTGCAAGACAACAAACAGCGTGAACCCAGCCATGGTCAGCAAGCTTGTCATTAGACCATGGAGAAATGCCCAGGACTCTTGTTAGAACACTTACAGTGGCAAAGTTCCCTTAACCCAACTTGTGTCATAATGAAGCTCTGAAAATTGAAAGAAAGCAAAAATGTCTTTATGACTGTGGTGGAGTCCCAGGTGAGCAGGATTAAAAACTAAGTATTTCTTTGTAGAACAATAAGGAACCTATTTCCTTTAAAGTTGGGATATTTTTTGCTTAAGAATTCTTTTTGTCCTAATAGATATTGCTGCTCATTTGGTGGCTCTGCGGCATGGCTGTGTATTTACTCAGTGGAGAGGCTTTAAAGCAACACCCACGTCCCTGGGCCCCTTTCACAGGGATGTAAATTCATTTGGTCGGGTTAGGGGTCTGGCAGGCTGGGGAACATTAATGAGCAACTGCCACTGAGAACCACTGTGCTGTAGAAGCCTGATTTGCAGTTCACGTTGGTGAAAATATTCACCCTTGCACAGTGACTGGATGCCTGGGATGAGCTCAACCAGTACAGGTGCTGGCAGCGTAATAAAGGCGGACTCTGAAGACCAGTAACTCCAAACAGAGAATAAAGGTTTTATCTCTGTGCACCCTGCTTCTACACTGTAGCATATCAACTCCTCTTTGCTCTTTAGGATATGAGGCACTTTAGAGTAACACAAGGAGAACTGATGTAAGCGGGGCTTGTACATAATTTGGAACTAGGTTTTGGGTGTGTAACATCCTGTGGCGAGGACCCCTTTTGAACTGAAGTAGACCCATAGCCTTACCTCTTGCCCTGTTTCTGGACTGTACCCTAAAACCTGAAGTCAGACTTCTTGGTTTCCACTGTGAACTTGTTATCTTTCTAGACAGGTAAAAGGGTAAAAAGGATGCTACTTACTTCTAAAATCATGGCGCAATGCATAAACTGGAAATTCCTTGAAATATTTTGGTGGCTACATTCTAATGCAACAGATGTGTCCTAAAGTTTTGATATTAATTCCATTTTTGGTGCTATACTTTTTTTTTTTTTTTACTCAAAACAAAACAACAAGATAGAGAAACAAAACTGACTATTTTTAGTTTAAGATTTATTTTCCCACATGTCAGTGTTCCAAAGACATATATCAAGATTTGGATACACAGAAAATTGAAATATACCATTGTGCACATTGGTAAGTAATTTTCTGGATTTAAAAAATCTTCCATATGTTGAGCCGCGTCAACATTATGCATGTTATATTACAAATTCCTTCTAATCAGAGACTATGCTTGTCTAAATCTCTCTGTAGCAGCATTAGTTAGTGATCATAGTTTTCAAAAAGTTATCTCTATGTATACAGAAATCCATGTCATTTCATCAGCTCCGTAGACCATAGAGCCTTCCACAAATAGCTTTGAGCCCCAAGGCCAGTCTGACTATTGGTTAATGCAAATAAGCATAGCAAATGTTTTTGCTCTGCCTCGGTAACCACAATCCCATTTGAAACAGAATTATGTATTATGGCATTACTAGGCAGATCCCTTCAAGCAAAGCAGGATCTGCATGCAGTTATAGAATGTTCAAATTGGTTTCTTTTTAAATAGAAGCAGGTTTGGGTTTGCTGACCAAATCAATTAGAGAACTCTCCCACAGTTCATTCTCAGAATGGGAGATTGCCTTTCAAAAGCATTGGAGAATAACAAGGAGCCCAGACAATAGGTCCAACGTGTTCAGATATGCATATTGGGACTTAGGGAGAGAATGTTCACTTATAGTGTGATCTGCTTATCTTTCCAATTTTTAATCTCTTTACACATAATTTACACTCAATAAAAATGCACCAATTATGGGTAGACTGGGATAACTTTTGACAGGATGTTATCAGCACCCTATTCAGTCATCTCATGTTTCTCCTACCCTCTTTACAGGAAATTCTAAATTCATAGTCATGGTGCTGATGTGATCTGACTACTATCACCATAGCTTAGTTTAGCCTTTTAAAAATCTCTGTAAACATTAAATTATATAGTAATTACCCTAGTGTCAAGCTTTAGTTACGTGGGTGTTTGTGAGATATATCCATAAGTCTGTATATATACAGACATATGCTATTGTCTATGGTAACAATTTATCCCTTTCTTTTTGATTAGTTCTGGTTTGCTGTTTCCCAGCTATGTGTATCTAGGTTGTCCTCAGGTTGGGACTTTTCTGATTGAAGCTGCTGTGCACATTCCTGTATATGTTCTTGTATGACGAATATTTTCATTCCTTCTGAGTAAATTCCTAGGCTGGCCAGGTCATGTAATAAGGATATATTTAATTTTCAAAGACGATGACTAACTGCTATCCAAAACAACTTACCATTTCACATTGCCTACCACATTGGACAAGTTCTAGGTGCTACACGTTTGTTCCAGCACTTGGTATTGTCAGTCTTAAATTTTAGCCATTGTAGTATGTGCGGAGTTTATTCTTGGAATTTGAATTATTTGTACACTTCTAATGACTAATGCTTTTGATCATCGCTTAAAATGTTTATTAACCATTTGAATATTTTGTGTGAAGTAATTTTCCAAGTCTTTTGCTCACTTTCAGTGGGCTGCTTATTTTTCATTATTAAATTTATATTGGTTTTTGTTGCTACATGAAGCACCTGACACGGTGTAACTTTATGAAATAAGAGGTTTATTTAGCTAGTAGTTCTGTAGATTAAAGGCATTACACTTGCACCAGCTCAGCTCGGCTGAGGGCTCTCAGCTAAATCACATCACTGTGGAGGACAAAGCAGATGAGCATGGCAGGAGTGCATGTGGGAAGCAGGACTACATCTCAAGTATGGTGACAGAGAGAGCCGGAGGCAGCCAGGACAGGAGCAGGCATTAATAACAACTCACTCTCCTGAGGACTTATGCCAGGGGACTGGTATTCTCTTCCTAGGTGAGTGTTCCCAATTTCCTCTAGACCCACCTGGATTCTCCCACTCAAATGTTCTATTGGCTTCCAGTGCCACCATCTGGGAACCAAAACTCCAACACATGAATCTTTGGGAGGACAAACAACATCCCCATCACAGCAGAATTCTAGAAACATTTGCACTGTTGTCCATATGTGTTAGGAATACTTTATCTCAATCTGTGGTTTACCTTTTGAACCACTAAAGTTTTAAAATGCGGTAAAGTTTATTTTACCAGTATGGTTAGTGCTTTCTGTCAAAGAAATCTTTGCATTTTCTTAGCAAAGATTCTTTCCTATATTTTTTCTTGAGTGTTTATATGCTTCAATTCCACACTGAGGTTTTTGATCCATTTAGCATTTATTTTGGTATGTGGTACAAAATAGGGGGTGGGAACAAATTTTTCTCTTCCATATCTAAATCGAATTGTTTCCTTTGATATTACTTTGGAGTTTTGTTAAAAATCAGTCAACCATAAGTATGTGGGTCTAATTCTATGGTCTATTTAATTATTTATTTTTATATTCATATGCTTGTACCATATATATTAATTCTTGTAGTTACAGAATAAGTCTTGAAATTAGCCAATGTATTATTATTAGCTTTTTCCAGACATTTTTGCTCTCTTTGAATTTGCAAAAAATATAATTAGAATCAATTGGTCAACTTGTACAAAAACTTCTACTAAGGTTTTTCTCAGTGTTGTTTGAGCTTATAAGTTGATATAAAGTCAAATTAAATGTGAGCATGAGAGTTTCAATCTAATCATTTAGGTAGTTTTGAATTTCTTAATACTTCTATAGTTTTAGTGTACAGGTCTTGTGAACTTTTGTTATAATTATATCTGTTGATATTAGTAGTAATTAATAATAATAATAAGAGGCTACCCTTAATAGTGCCTAGTATATTTTATGCAATTGTAAATGGCATTTCTTTTAACATTGATTTAAACACTTCTTTAAAGTTATTGGCAGATAGAATTATCAATAACTTTTAGACTTTGTAACTTGTTACATTTTTAATTTCATTTATTAAATTTAGAAATTTGGTGGTACCATATGACTATTTAAATTGTTGAGTCATATGAAAATGAAGGACATTTTTATTTTCTTTTAAATTTTGTGCCTTTTTCCATTCTTATTGCCCTGGTATAATAAATTATCATTTTTATATTGCTGATTCGATTTATTAATGTTTTGTTTACAGTTTTTGCATAATAATTGATGTTCAGCTGTAATTTTTCTTACAATGCTCTTTTTATGTTTTATCATCCAAGTTCTGCTAGTTTTATAAAATAAATTGGGAAATAATCCTTGCTTTTCTTTCTTTTCTAGTTTGTACAATGTTGGCATTTTTCATCAAAGTCCTTGAAAATATTTGGACCTTGAAGGTATTTTTTAAATCTGTATGAAGTTTTTATTATGATTTTTTTTTCAATCTGAGGATTGAAACCAGGGCCTTTGCACTGAATTACATCCCCAGTCCTTTTCTTCTTCCTCTCCTCCTCCACCTGCTCTCCCTGTCCTCCTCCACCTCCTCTTCCTGTCCTCCTCCTCCTCCTTTTTCCTCTTTCTCTTCTTCTTCCTCCTCCCCTCCTCTTCCTCCCCTCCTCCTCCTCCCCTCCTCCTCCTCCTCTTCCTCTCCTTCCTCTTCTGAGACAGCTTGCTAAGTAGTTCAGGTCAGACTCAAACTTGAAATCTTCCTACTTCAGCCTCCTGGCATACTGGGATAGCAGGTTTGCACCTCCACTCCTAGATTTATTATGATATTTAAATGTTTTGAAAAATTTTTGTTTTTATTAGTACATGTTTGCCCTGCAGAATGATTGCATTCACTGTAGGGAACTGGTACATGTACATAAAACTTCTCAATTCTTTTTGCTTCACATTCCCCTTGCCTCTGTCCCTGTTCCTTCCATCTCTTGCTCCCATTTCCATTGGTGAAAGATCTATTACAAATCTGTTTCCTGTTATCTACCTTTTATTTTGTTCTTTAACTTATTTACACTTTGAATTTCTCATTAAGAGAAACTATGAGGTATTTAAGCTCCTGTATCTGATTTATTTCACTTAACATTATGGTTTTAAATCTTCTTTTCCTTTTTATGTCAGTTTTTTAAAAAATACATTTACCATGAATTTTTGTAATACATTTGCTTCATATTTGCTGGCATATGGTTTTTCCATAGCCATTGTTTTTAATGTTCATAGGATATATGGTGTATCATGTTTTCTTCCTAGAGTGGGAAATTTATATTTCACTACTCTAGATAGATGCGGGTGAGTTCCAAAATTGTTTGCAAATAAAATTTTTGTCTTTTTATTGCTTTGTTACTAGTATTTTTCTTCAATATTAATCCCTGTTCTTGTGTTTACTTCATTTTCTCTGCTTATTCTGAGTTTATCATTGCTGCCATAAGTTCATTTACGTTGAGAATCCACATTTGCGATCATGTAGTGTTTATCTTTGTGTACTGGACTTATTTCACTTGCCATAATATCATCCATATTATTGCATATGATAAGACTTCATCCTTCTAAAAGACAGAATGGTATTTCAGGGTGTATGTAGACCACATTTTCTTTTTTAATTTTTCTGTTGATAGAAGCTTAACTATTCTTTTATTGTAGAAACTTAGCCACTCCAAACGTGGCTATTGTGCAGAGTGTCATAATTAACAAGAGGGTGAAGATTATCTCCTTGATTTATCGAGTTAATTTAAAATTCTATGAGATGCTGTATATCCGGTGTTCCATATTATTTTCTGGTAAAAAGCAAAAATTTCTCAGCTTTGTATCCAAAAAGAAAATAAATTTAAATGTATTTTGCTTAAGGTCTCTAGTGATAATATTCAAATTGCAAAGAAGTAGAAGCAACGGAAGCTATGTCTTCTGAACCTTTGTGTAGCAGTCATACCTGACTTGCAATGTAACAGAGGATGGGTTCACTGCTCTGGGCTGTAAAATGCCCCTTAGTCATTACACAGACTAGGAGAATGCACCTCTTATAATCCTCTTCTTTCTGCTTTGTTCCAATCTATAATCTATAGCTTGCAGACCTTGGATTTCATAACAAAGTATTTTTTATTGACTTGACATCAAAAAGCCGATAGATAATTGATAATCATTGCTCTCCCTCAATGCCAGGATATTTTCCTGACATGGGGAACGAGTTCTGAAAGGAAGTTTAATCCTTCCGCATGTGCCAATTTCCCCTCAGGTCTAGACTGTGGTTCAGTAGAGGCTTATTCTTCAAAGCCTTTCCTCTAGGGCACTTTGCCTGACAAAATTCTTACCGACTGAGTTGGATTTGTTTGTTTATTTAATTTAGGTCCCTCCTAGTGCAACTATTTACTCTTATAATATGCAGCTATTCCTATGTGACCTGGAAAAAACGTATGCTTTCTGAAAAAAGCTATGCTTTCCATTACCAGTGAAAATACACTTACACTTAGCTCACCCTTTTACTTTTCCCAGCCAAGTGGCCAGGGCATGGTTGGGCAAAAGACACACCAAGAAGCAATGTTTGGTTTTGGTAAAATAGAAAATATTTGTGCAAATAAATTAATGAACTTCCTTTAATGGAACTTTACTCAATCCATGAGTCAAGCATAATTTGCACTGTCCTCAGATATTTACAGATACATAGGATAACCTTACTGAGAGTAATTTTGAACATTTAAAAAACCTTGTAATGAGCACCTAGGCAAGTGCAAACTTACCACCTTCTGAGGTAGAAAATATGAGATGCACATAGGGATCATATACTGTGCTAAGAATGGGGGGAGGTGTAACTGGAAGGGTTAAGAACAATGTTAAATATGCTTGAGAGAAAAGCCAACCATATACCCAGAACTGAGGCTGGAAATAGAACCCATGTGAAAGTGAGAGGTGGAGTGGAAAAAAATTGCCACTTTTACCATTACTTGTCATAATATAATGGAAGGGAAGCAAAGAAATAACCAGTATAATAACCTGCTGAAAGAATAAACTATATTATAATTATACCAGAAAAAGAAATGTCATTTTCTTTAAACTCTTTATATCAGAAAAATTACCAGCTTAGCTAGAAATTTTACAAGATCTGCAGCTCCCTTTATTGCCTACTCAAAATTTTTTTCTTGTAGGAGTTAAACACAATGTATCTACAAGGTTGAATCGGGACACCAGACTTCCTGGGTTCAACTCCAGGACCTGTTATTTATTCTCAGGGTATCCCAAGTCTGAAACTTTTCTATTTATTTTTTGATCATCTACAAAATTACATTAAAAAAACTTTAAAGTGTTGTTACAAAAGTAAAATTAATAACCATATATAAATTACCCATAACAGTCTCTGGCATGCAGTCGTGCATTGAGAGTATTTCAGTGTTTATTTTTATTACATATTTTTTTCCAGGTTAAATAAATCAACAATTCACTATCAAGTTTTCATATAATACCACTTTACAGTAAATCCTATCTTCCGCTAAATGATCCAATCTTGATGAATCTAAGAGAGTGGCTTCTAATATTTAGACAGTTTGTCCTCCGTTGGTAGAAATTCTATTCAATGGAACAGAATCTCCAGTGGCAAATAATGCAAGGGTTTTATTAACAATCAAATAGTGCCACTGAATCAAATAGAGTAGGAACAGAGTGAGAAATTTATGATAATTTCAACATAAATAGGAAAAGTTGGATTTTTTTTGGAAAGGAAGAAAGCACGCTGTATATATTTTATATTTATACATGTGTGCCTGACACATTTTCAATCATTAGGTCACTAGCGTATAACAATGTTTTTGTCCCTTGAAAATAATTTCCATAATATATAATGAATTTCCAGCATGGGCTGGTTTTTCTGAGAATGTTCATGTACAGAGAAAAACTCTAACATTTGTTTTATTTGTTCAAAGTCTTATTCTCTGAGATAAGAATAAAGGACATTAGCGTGGCTTTCCAATGTTACAAATCCATCTCGGCCAGTGGGTCATAATTTCCTCTGTTCTATTTGCTCTGTGACTCCCTGGTGTCACAGGAAGGTAATGTTTCAAATACATCACCTTGATGGTGCATTCCATCACCCTGCAGCAAAACTTTTCACCCCCTAGACAGACACCTAATTCATATATTCTTCCCAATCAGTTTAAACTTTCAAAAAATTCAAATAGTGTTTTGCATGACACAGGTGATACTCATGAACTTATTACCTCTCTCAAAGGCCAGCTCTCCTGGCAGCTGTTTCACAATGAATAAAGATCAGGCTTTTTCACTCCGTCAGTTGAAACTAACATCAGTGCAGCTGTGTCCTATTGAGGGTGAAAGTGAAAATGAGATTAATTTCTCAGTGAGTCAGATTCATCTACAGAGGACAGAGGGACAATTCAAGTCAGACAGCCTCTAGGTTATTAACAGAGTTGCTTCAGTCCTTAACTTTAATTATGTCTAAAATCAAAGGTTTAAAAAGTTTTGATTTTCATTAGAATTGGAGGTCTTTGCTGCAAGTAGCACAGAGCTAAGCTGATTTCTACGTAGTGTCAATTACATTTGATTTAAAGCCATATATCGCATCCTGGTTACATATCAGAGTCATCTGCCAATAAGAAAGATGTAAACAAGTTTAAGACACATTTTCAATATGTTTATTCTTTCATATCCGTATATTTCATTCAATTTATAGTATGCAGTGACTTATTCTTTTCTTAAGAGCCCAAGTTTTGCAGGAAATGAAAATAGGAGAGTCTCTTGATTTCAAGAAAGATGATTGCCAGGGAAATTAATAAAGAGGCAATTTCTGTACATGGTTCTTTGGCACAGGGAGTACTGAAGAAGGGAGTACTCCACCCTGGTGGTGCAAGGCAGGGGTTGCTGAGGAGGGAGGCATATTCCAGGGAGCGTATATGGAACTGAGTGCTGTGGAATGCGAAGGATGCAGCTGGATGAATTAGAAAATCATAAAAAATTTACATGAAAAAAATGCCCAAGCTGAGTCATGAATAAAAGACTGGTGCGATGAGGAATAAAAACGATTTGGTTTTGCTGGAGTATCCAGGAGGAGGAGATGATTAAAAGGAGAAGAGACTTTTGAAGAGCCTTCAGGATTCAAGTGCTCATGTGTCTTCAAAGCCGGACTACAGAGCGAGGATGTAATCTGGGGTAAAGAGTACCTGGAAGAGTTTAGGTTTCACTTTAGATAGCTTTATTCTGCTTTTGATAACACTTCACAAATGCCCATTTTTAAAAAGCAAATTGGATGAAATGAACTAACTATATTTTAAATATTGTAGACCACGCTACGTCCAAAAAAAAAGCAGCTTGGTGTGTTAGCTTTGTGTCACTATGACAAAATATCTGACATAAACCACTTAGTGAAGAAAGGTTTATTTTGTTCTGTGGTTTGGGAGGTTTC